TTCAGAAGATGAGTATAATGATTGGATAAGAAGTGGTGTCGATGGGATAGAGATTCATAGGAACACATATGGCAAGATTCCCCAAATGATGGTGAAGCTAATGTTGAGAGAGGAAATGACATTGAAAATGAAAGTGATTATGAATAAGATAGGTGGTAATTATAAAATATTATTTTGCAAGTATTATTTAAGAACTTCTAGAGATTTTTCTTAATGCAGAAATTTGAATAAATATACTTTTTTTTGTTTCAATTTAAGTCATTTTTATTGAAGATGCATGTTAGTCAGCTATGAATTTTTTATGTTTGTATTGGTTGATTATTAGTTGAGTTGAGTGAATTCTTTGTGCTTTCTTTTACTTATATTTTGCTTATTGTAGCCATTATATTGGAATATGCTAAGGTGTTATTATCATTGGACAATTATTTTTGCTGGTACATCAACACCTTTTATCTCTTGAACTTGTGTGCACGAATTGCTATTTATTTGTTTTACATAGCTTGAGATGAGGAAGATGCTTCCTCTAATTTTGCATGTGACCTGTTGATTGGTTGGAGTTAATATGGTAATAGTATAATTTAATACAGTTAGATAGTTTCTTTATTTTGGAAAAGGAACTATGCAAACTAGAGGTCGCAACCGATTGGTAATTGAACAAGACGATGATGAAGATGTGAGACCTTATATTGAGCACTTGATGGATGATCAAAACTACTCTAAGGCCCAACCATATATTGAGCACTTGATGGATAGTCAGAACTACTCTGAAGCCCAAACACATGATGGTCACTCTAATGAGTTGAATAGTTCTGCTGGTGGCACTGAGATTTAACATGATGACGATTCGGGTAATGTTTCTATAGTATTACAATCTGGTTATATATAAAATTAGATTATAGCGTTCATTTTCTATATTAAAAAGAAGTCTCAGTGGATGGCTCACCAGAAAATTGTGAAGTTACATCTTAAATCAATAAAAGCTCTTAGTAGTCTCATTCTTTTGTTCTTCCTAGTAATTTGGACTATGATCTCCAAATGATAATGCATATCTGTGATGCTTGTTCGTGTTAATTGCTATTGAATTAGTGAACTTCATGAATTTGGAACACAACAAAAAACTATATATTGAGATGAATTATTTGCTTCTATTTTACTTTTGATGTAAAGAGGAGTTGGTAGAAGAAGTAGAATCACTGTTAAACATCATAGAATCCCTGTAAGATGAACTAGGGAACTTTTATGCTTGTTTTGTGGATTGTAAATATGGCTCTTGCACTGCCGTTGTGCTAATGGAATACAGTTTGTTATCTTTCTCAAAAATATTATTGCTGCTCAACAGTTTTGTCTGCCCGCAGTGTTGACATACAGAGAAAGTTCTTGTCTAGTTTTATTGGTGCTGCTCTTTCCTTTAATAGTTAAACTAGGGACTTACCAGTCGAAAGAGGAGCCGACCCAAATCTCTTGAAGAAGTTCGGCCACTCACGGATCCCCACAATATGAGTGAGGAGCCGACTAACCCAGTTCGAAATATCTTCAACCAGAGGAGGAGGTGAGGTCTTGGCTGTATAAAAATAAGAGAGGGGAGAGGACCATAAATCAGAACCCACAACCATGGACGTTGGCTACCACGTCTTCGTTTCTAACGAAGAAGTAGTTTAACCAAACTTGGCGATTAGCATTATCATCCATCTTCACCACCAGGCACTTGCCTCCTCGGTGGCGACGGTTTAACATTGTCCCCTGTAAAAGCTAGGGGCGAATAGGTGTATCAAATGCCAAAGTGAGAGCTCGACCCCAGCCAGCTCGACAAATTTAGTGAGCATCCTTGTAAGCTTGTAGAGGTATGAGGCGAGCTGGGCTGGGCAGACGCCGTAATAATGGCAAAATTCCTCCGCCAGCGGAAGGAGAGGTAGAGTGTCGCCGACTTGGAAGGGGTAGGCGTAGAAGGCACAGTATCTAGGATGATGAACCTGCATCGTATCCCACCCAACCGGGATTAATTCGAGGTGATCGGGGATGCCGTACTTACCCCTAAGTTCTCCCAATTCCTTATCTGTCATCACTGACTGAAAGGCTCTAGGGTCAACATCAGTGGACTTCGAGAAATCAGACCTGATGTCAGGATTGCGAGGAATTATCTCCTCCACCAAAGGGAAGCCTCCATCCTTGACGGCGGCAGGAGCATTCCCCTCATGAGGAGGGAGCACCATCGTTAAAGGGACTGGCTCACTTCCCTCAGTAGACTCGGAAGGTACGTTAGTCATGTTTTATCAGAAGAAAAAGAGTATCAAGCAGTAAAGAATCGAAAACAATGAAAGCATCTGGAACAGAAAGTGTTAAGTCACAAAGAAGAAAGAAAGAGATATGGAGTTTCAGAGTAGAAGGTCTAAAACTTCAAAATTACACCCTAGCACATCTATTTATAAGAACCTGGGCACCAAAACCGAAAATGGTTCATCATTACTGGCGCCGTAACCAAAGTGGCAGATTCAATCAAAGGACGCACGAGAAACAAAGCAACGCATTGGGAAAATGTGTCACAATGACACATGACGTCATCTTAATTTGTGGATAGTCCAAATCCAACAAACCGATCGAGAAAATCGAGAAGTTTTGAAATAGGTGGTCCGCATAGGGCCACGTTGCCGACTCACCATGACCACCACGATCTGAACTGCTCGCTCAATTGTTTCTACCATAACGAGCAAATCCGCTCATCGACCCCGCCTGAAGCCAGTCTCAATAAGCGGAGGGATTAACTGTATGGCAAAATCTATCTCTAGAGTACCTAAGCCAAGATAATATTATGGGAAGGATTCTCGAGTCGAGGTTAGTCAAAGCGACCCAAGAAGCAACAAAGTCCTTGGCCGAATTGTCAACATGAGCCATAGTCGAGATGTCTACAAGGGTCGAGGTCGAGATTGAATATTGATGATAAGAGTTATAACGGCTAGTTTGTCAAGATAGGATATTAAAAGGGAATATTCTATACACATGTACTATTAGGGTTTCTTAGGAACATGTCCCATATATATAGAAAAAAGAGACAATGATAAGGGCATGTGATATTCATTTGTAAGAACACACTTTGACAAAAAGATTCTCTCTCTCTTACTAAGATACGAACACCACCTTTTCACTGAGATTCTTGTCTATATTATTCCATACTTTTCCATCTAATCCGAGAATAACTCGAACATTCAAGGTTTTATCTGTCACTCATCATTGTCAGGAGGAACAACCATCTAGTTCATCCTTTATTGGGTGAATCATTCATCTTATTTACTTAAATATCATATATTGTTATTTATTGCTATTAAATGCTATATTATTGCTCATGCTTTTTGAAATAGCTATTGCCTATTGTTATCACTATTCGACAAAATCCATCTAATATTTATTGCACCCTCGAAAGCTACATCTAGAAATATTATTGTTAACTAAGTTTAACCCATAATTATATAAATTTAATTATTTGAAGCTGTTAAACTTCATATATGCACCCTTTGAATCCACATGACCTGTTTCTGAAGATAATTACGGTATGTCGCATCCAACCGAGACACGGAGAATGAAGATTTTTTTGTTAATAATGCAACCCTAAGCCACTATTAAAATATAACAAAAAATAAACAGCAATATAAAAATAAGTTGTTACAAAAGTTCAAGACGACATAAAATTCACTTTCTCAATTTTCAAAAACTTGTACTTGAAAACATGCAGGGAGAGTCAACATATATCACTCGAAGAGTCCGGGCGAGGGAGACTTAAAATCACACAAAGCAAAGATGTATAGGGGCATACATACATTGCACTCTTTCTCATTATACTCTTGGATAGCACAGTTAGCCAGTTCAATCAGTACCCCATAGTCGTTGTGGAACTTGAAATCCAGATATGGTGTTATTGGAACAGTCGGACCGGGACAGTCAACAAATTCAAAACCCTGTCAAACAAGCCAACAACGATGAAACCTATCCGCCAAACTGGAAGAAAGAAGAGGGATTATAATGGAATTGGACAAATCTATCCAATTAAAATAAATAAATTCAAATACAGGAAAGTAAAATAATGTCATAGGAATACAAACATTCGTCTAAATCGTATTTCATGGAGAATGAAACCTATTATCAGGGGGGAAAAGGAATAGAAATAAGAGGCTTTTACAGCTTGTTTGGATGGTTGTTACCTATCGTATCATATCGTTTGAATAGTTGTTACATATTGTTTCATAATATATCGTATTGTATTGTTTTGAGAATAAAATATTTAGATAGATTGTATCGTTTGTCATCATTTTATAATGTCATACCCACAATATGAAGAATAAACTTGCAATATTACAAAGAAAAAGCAAGGTAAAAGGTAGAATATAATTATTATATAAAAAAATAGAGTAAAGGATAAAATAGGATTATTTAATAAAAAGGAATGTCAGGATGAGGAAAAAAAGCAAGGTAACGACACGACCACACCAAATTCATCGTTACATAAAGTGATACTTTTCGTTACAATCAAAACATTTATTATATTAGCATTAGATGAATCATAGGCTTTACAATTAGCGGTAAGCAAAAAAATACGTGTATAAATCCATGACATATAAATAAAGCACATGAATCAAAGGCTTGACCAAAAATTGAATGACAGAACTTTAATAGGAAAACGAAAGAAAGGGAGCAAACATTGGATTCTTCAGTTTGATGGTGGTAGTTCAACCAAATTTGTTCAAGAGCAAGGCGATGATCTTCAGGCAAATCATCATCATCAGAGAGGTAATAAGAATAATCGGAGGTTGGGTTTAGATTGCAAACGCAGCATCCTCCTCCTGGGTGACAAAAGCTGCGGAAGATCCATCTGAATGCATGGAGAAATGAAATCCTAATGGTGGCTGAGAGATGAGCCTTTGCACACACTCTCTTTATACCAACTTTACCTTTAAAATTGGGGAAATAAAAAAGACGGAGTTATGGCCTGTGTTTTGAAACGGCGCAAAGACGGAGTTGTGGCTTGCATTTTGAAACGACGCTTTTATTCCTCTTTCATTGTTCTTAACGGAAGTACATGTAATTGAGTATTCAGAAAAGGTGCCTTTTTGAATTAAGTGTTGTATTAAAATGAGAGGATAAATCTTAAAAAAAGAGATAATAGATAAATCTTTTTCCTGGCCTATCAAAGGTGCCAAGTCACCTTTTTTAGACCCTCAATTATAGATATATATAGATTCTTAGGACGGTAAGGTGGTTCAAACATTGATCTATATAATTGTATAACTGATTCTTTTCCAATTAACTGAAGAGGTGTGTCTAGTGGTGGCAGAGAACAAATATAACACATGCAACCACATTTTTATGAAATAGAAAGTTCCGATAATATTGTGAAGACTTGGAGAATTGAAACTAACACAACTTCGTGATTAGGATCAGTTGCTTGCTTCTTTTCATGTGATGATTCTTGATTTCCTACAACCTTAACTTCAGTTCCAATATGAGTACTTTGTTGTAATTCCTTGACATTGTTGTGACATTTATAGTTATATTTCTGCTTTGCTAGTCTCTTTCTGTAGCGTAATGTTAAAGTATCTGGAGTTATAATTTTTGATGTCATAAGATGATTCAGATCTTTTTCATTTTAGGTAATTCAGAAGCAAAAAAAGTTTGTGGGCCTACTTTACTAAAAGATATTTAAAAACTTCCGCCGGAAAAGACCGTTGATGTGCCGTTTAATAATCGTAACCAAGCTATTGGGAAAGAGGGTCGAAAGCTTGCTAGCTTTCTAGGAATTATTTCCAGAACTTCAGAACTAACACCTCTACATGTAGATGATTGGAGAAATTTTGACAACGAGGAAAGAAGAAATTGGTAGATTTTGTAAGGGTATGGAGAAGTTATTATTATTATTATTATTATTATTATATGAACATGCTCAATCTTTTATACATGATATTATCTTCTAAATGTTGGCTTTTATTTTTGTAGAAGAAGTTCTCTATCCCAAAATGTGGAGAAGCGTGAATCTTAAAGTCACTAGGAAAGAAAGGGAAAGATTACAAGTCCGGATTTAAAAGTGAGTATATGCGAAAATATAAGACTAAAGACGCTTTGCTAAAAAATAGACCAAGTCGTATACCAAGGGATCAATGGAGTAGTCTTGTCTCTTATTGGCTTTCTGATAAAGCTAAGGTATCAACCTTGAAAATTCTCCTAGCTCATATTCATAGCGTTTTGATTTTAGTTATTCTCAACTTATATTTATAATTTATAAGATATCATTTTAATATTTCAATGACAGAGATAATCGAGTTAACGGAGAAACAAAATGAAGAAATGAATAAGATGAAACAAAATCAGGAGAAGATGCAATTAGAACTGCTCCAAATGAGACAATTCATGCGCAAATATGCTCCTAATGCATCTATGCCTCAAAGTAGCAATGGCACCTCAGGTGAACATGTAACTCGATTTTATAAGCTTTAAATATTTTTAATGAAATTTTTATCATATAAAAGTATCGTTACCTAACATGTTAATATTTATTAGATACCTGACGCCAACAGTGGATATGAACAAGTACCACAAATATCAAAGATACCTAATGTTACTGAAAATGCTCAACCTTCTCACGGTACTACTCATCTTTGTCCTTCATCGCTATTGTTTGAGTTTTCCTCCTTCGGTTTTTATTACTTTATTGTTGTATTTGGGCTTACCTTGGATGATTCTTACTTTTATATATTTTCTTTTCCTAGTGTTGATGTCATAACTATTGCAAAATTTCTACATCATTCCAAAAGAATATGGACGTAGATTGGTCGTCATTTTCAATTACTCAAGTGTCATAGGAATTACACTTATTTTTCAATTAGGGGTTATTTGTCTTATTTATTTATCTCCATGATGATCATTTGGGGTGGTTTTATTAAAGTGAGAATGGCGGGACTAAGGCATCAAATATTCTTTAGTTTTCTAGTATTTCTCTCTGCAAATGCTATAGTCAACTTGATACTTCTTTTGGCCTTTCACCGAACCTGCCTTTTCTACTGGAGTTCATTGGATTGATTAACATCATATTAAACCTTCAACCAAGTTTGCTTCACTGGGTTTTAGAATATTTATGCAGTTCCTCAATAGATTGTCTATCTGTATAGTAATAATGAGGTAAAGAGAAACGATGATAGCTGGTTTTTCTAGATTTTAAGTATATGTCGCATGCTTATTTAAGAAATCCATGATGCTTTCTATTTCCTATTATAGGATCAAGTTGTAGTAACTTATTTCTTTTAATCTACCTTGTAATTTTGCATTCGTTCTGTTCTTAACACTGAAAGATTTCGGGTGTGTTGGTACAAAGGAAATTATTTTTTTAGTAAAAAAAGTGGTTTGCCTGGTTGGCTCAAAGAGTGTTATTGGAACTTCCGTTATTCTTGCCGTCCTCGTATGTGAAGAAAGAAAGAGTGTTCTTGGAACTTTTTTTATTCTTGCTTCTGAAGAACATATTTTTATGGGTCTTTGGTTTCTTTTATCGTTGCCGGTTCATACATTATTAGTATTATTTTTCTGTCCTTTGCTAATGATATTTGCTTGTTGTTATTGTTGTCGTTGTTGTAACTTGGCGTGCAACTTCTTTTTACTTCTCCAAGCTAATACTCTACTTTTGAATTTTTTGTTTGTTTCTTCTCTACCATAACAAAGAAAGAAACTGTCTTTAATTGTTTGCACATCCATTTTGCTCGCTTATAGATACATCTAGTTGTTTCTGCTTATATACGTTAGGTGAGGGTGTTTGCTGAAAAAGAATATTTTTTCACATTATATTTCATCTTTTGACACAGTTATTTTATAATTTCAGGTCATACACCCTAATGTTCGATAATTTAGCGGGTGGAAGATTTCAAAATGATGAAAAGTGCGAAAATCATTTGAACATCATTATTTGTCTGGATTAGTTATATAATGACATTAGTTATTTAGTTCAAACAATATAAGTTTATTTTAAGTTGCTATGACATTAATATTTTTTATTAGTACTTTCTTTTGTTAAGATTTAATGAGATATATTATGTTTTTTTGAATTAATATTAATATATTTAATTATTGGATCATATTCTGGATGGATGTAGTAACTATTATTGGCTAAACTATTGCTATTACAGCTTGTGACTTGTAGTGCTAATTTAGTTGGATATACCTGTTATAAAGTAGGATGATAAAAGGACAAATTAAGATGTTTTCACACAGTGTTGCTTCGTTCTACGACGGTTTTCAAGCTAGCACCCGTTTCAGCATATCATCTCGCTCGATTCCAAAAAAAAAAATCCAGTTCTATATCGCAAACGAGCAGTTGATCCCACGAAAGCAATGCTGGCTTTGTTGCGGGTTCAACTGGAATTGTAAGAAGTGAGGTAAATTGCCTTTCTCCCCACCGCATATGCCTCCTCTGCTTATGCCACTGGTGATGAACTCACTATGGCTATTCAACGTCAAACTCAGAGTTTTTCTTACTACATAGACGGCTAAACGAAAAGGGATATTGCATCAAACTAAGATGTTCTTAGAAGGGATACTATAGCCATTTTAATTGCCACAAAATAATTATCATTAAAGATGCTAATTTTAGCAGTAATTATTTTGAATTTAGAGGCTATATAAATGGATGCTAAAGGAGTATAATTAGCCATTTTAGTTTGGATTTAGCAGCCATTATAATTTCCGCCAACAATTATCGTTAAAGATGCTAATTTTAGCGATAATTATTTTAAATTTAGCGGCTATATAAATGGATGCGAAAGGAGTATAATTATTCGTTTTGGATTGGATTTAGCAGTCATTATAATTGCCGCAAACAATAGCCGTTAAAGATAATAGTTTTTAGCAGCAATAACCATACCTTTTAACAGCTTTTGTTACAATGGCCGCTAAAGCCTTTGCCGACCCCGACTTCAGCGGTGAAACATCAATAGCCGGTAAAGCCATTTTGTATTGCCGCTAAAGCCCCTTTTTGTTGTAGTGAATATCCTTAAAGAACAAAATGTAAAGTCTTAAGGGACAAAATATGTATCCGTAAGGTGGAAACTTTCGTTCATTTCTGTGCGCAACATACAAGATTGCAAATGTGTACAAGCTTCGTGTTATGGCTCAAGTGATCTATGTGGGCACGGTTCACTTGACCGTTTGGCCATTACAATAAATCCTATCCATCGAGCCCCGACTGTTCAAGAACAAAGTTTTCTTCCTTGCTAAAGTAATTATTCGAGGGTGATGGCCCCTAGTATTCGAGGCCGATCGTAGAGAGGGATCGGATACTGTTGATGTGATCCTCGACTCCGGTTTATAACCGGTCTTCAATTCTAAGTTAGCACGATCTACCATTGTCTCGTTAAAAACCATGCCAGAAAACCCATTTGGGACAAAACCGGTTCAAGGAAAAAAGAGTGCAACGCGTGCTTTCAGGCCTAAAAGCTGCATCATCCTTTGGTCGTTGCCTGCAAGCATCAATCCAATTCGTAATATATGTAAATAAAAGAATGAATGGGGTCGTACCTTAACAGTAGTATCGTTTTAAATGGGCTACATTCCAGTTGTTTGGTAGTCTCTCACCGTTCACTGCTTCGAGTTTGTATGATCCTTTGCCGGTGATCTCGATAATTTGATATGGACCTTCCCAATTCGGTCCCAGCTTCCCTTCGTTAGAGTTCTGGGTGTTTAGTGTCACCTTTGTTAACACCAAGTCCCCGATATTAAAGTGTCAGAGGTTGGCTCTCCGGTTATAATACCTTTCGATCCGTTATTTTTTGGGCGGCCAACTAGACAAGGGTGGCTTCGCACCTCTCGTCCAACAGTTCCAGGCTCGTGCACATGGCCTCGTCGTTTAACTCTTCGGTCGCATATCGGAACTTGAGACTTGTTTCTACTACTTTGACGGTATTAGTGCTTTGGCACCGTAGACCAACGAGAATAGGGTGACCCCGATACTAGATTTTGAGGTTGTACGATACGCCCATAGGACTTCGGGCAAACTTTCCTTCCATTTTACTTTGGCCTCGGTAAACCTCTTCTTAAGATTTTGGATTATGGTTTTGTTCTTAGACTCCACCTGCCTGTTTCCACTAGGGTGATAGGGTGTTGATAGGATCCTTTTGATCTTATGGTCCTCGAAACATTTACTCACCTTACTGCCGATGAACTGCTTTTCCATTGTCGCACACGATCTTGGCCGACATTTCGAACCGGCATATTATGTGGTCCTAAATAAAATCAATAACTTCTTTCTCCCTGACTTTCTCAAATAAATCGGCTTTCACCCATTTAGAAAATAGTCAGTCATAAATTATATAAATTGAGCCTTACCGGGTGCCCGTGACAAGGGACCGACGATATCCATTCCCCATTTTATGAATAGCCAGGGTGACAAGACCGAATGTAGTAGCTCCCCAGGATGATGAATCATTGGTGCATACCTCTGACACCAGTCATATTTTCGCACGAACGCTTTTGCGTCTTTATCCATGTCGATCCATTAGTAGTCGACTTCGATTATCTTACGAACCAACGATTCGACACCCGAATGGTTCTCCTAGGTGCCTTCGTGAACTTCCCGCAAAATATATTTGGTATGTCATGGTCTCAAACATATGGCGAGTGGGCCATCGAACATTCTCCTGAATAGGGTGTTGTCTTCAAACAAGCTGAACCTAGTCGCCTTTGTGGAGAGAGCTCTCGGTTCTTTAGGATCCGAGGGCAGTTTCCCGGTCTTCATGTAATCTATATACTTGTTTCTCCAGTCCCAGGTTAAGCTTGTCAGGTTTATCTCGGTGTGGCCTTTTTTCAATATCGATTTCATGAGTTGCACGACCGTTCCCGAGTTGAATTCATCGTCATCAACCGACGATCCCAAATTAGCAAGAGCATCGGCTTCGTTGTTTTGATTCTGAGGTACATGTTGCAAGGTCCACTCCTTGAACCGATGTAACGTCACCTATAGTTTATCCAGGTACCTTCGCATTTGTTCCTCTTTGACTTCGAACGTTCCATTGACTTGGTTCACCACAATGAGGGAATTGCACTTAGCTTCAATCACCTCGACCCCCAGGCTTTTAGCCAGTTCGAGCCCTGCAATCATGGCATCATACTCGGCCTCGTTGTTAGTGAGTTTTACAGTTCAAATAGATTGCCTAGCTACATTACCCATCGATGGCTTCAACACGATGCCAAGTCCGGACCTCTTTGCATTTGAGGCACCGTCCATAAAGAGAGTCCAGATTCCGGAGGAAGTCCCCGAGTTCAACAACAATTCCCTTTCATCCTCGGGTATTAGGGCCGGCGTGAAGTCGGCCATGAAGTTCGCCAAAATTTGAGATTTGATGGTGGTTCGGGGTCGATATTCAATATCGTACCCGCTGATCTTCACGGTCCATTTGGTCAACCGTCCCGAGAGCTCGGGTTTATGTATTATGTTCCGCAAGGGGTAAGTAGTCACGGCTCATATGGGATGGTACTGAAAATACGGTTTTAACTTCCTAGATGCGCTTAGAAAGTGAGCGCCAATTTTTCCAGGTGAGGATACCTAGTTTCAACCTTGCCTAGAGTCCTGCTAACATAGTAGATAGGAAATTACATTCCTTCCTCTTCCCGAACTAGGACAACACTTACCGCTATCTCGGATACCGCTAAGTACAGGTACAACTGCTCGTCCGCCTTCAGAGTGTGAAGCAAATGCGGGCTCAAAAGGTACCACTTGAGTTCTTCCAAGGCTTGTTGACACTCCGCGGTCCATGAGAAGTTGTTCTTCTTCTTCAATAGAGAGAAGAACTGATGGCTCTTGTCGGAGGACCTTGAAATGAATCGACCCAAAGCGTCTATGCACACAGTTAGCCTTTGAACGGCCTTGACATTGTCCACCATTGTAATGTCCTCTATGGCCTCGATTTTATCTGGATTGATCTCGATTCCCAGGTTAGACACCATGAATTTGAGAATTTCTCAGACCCGACTCTGAATGCGCATTTTTCCGGGTTCAGCCTCATATTATATTTCTTCAATATGTTGAAGGTTTCCTGCAAATGTTTCAAATGGCCCTCTGCTCGCAGGGACATAACAAACATATCGTCAATGTAAACCTCCATTGATTTTTCTATTTGCTCTTCGAACATCTAATTTACTAGGCATTGGTAAGTGGCACCGGAATTTTTTTTGTTTGAATGGCATTACGTTATAACTGTAGGTGTCGTACTTAGTTATGAAGGACGTTTTTTCTTGGTCGCCTGGGTCCATCCGAATTTGGCTTTACATGGAATAGGCATCGAGAAAGCTGAGGATATCGTGGCCGGCCGTTGCATCGATCGTGTGATTGATATTGGGCAAAAGGAAAGAGTCCTTGGGGCATGCCTTTTTCAAGCCCTTTTTAGGGACTACTACTACGTTTGCTAACCAATCGGGGTACTTAACCTCTCGAATGGATCCTATTTTAAGGAGTTTAGATACCTCGTCTTTGATGAATGCATGCTTGACTTCGGACTGAGGCCTCATTTTCTGTTTGACCGGTGGATCTTCGGATCCAAGCTCAGCTTGTGAGTAGTTATTTCCGGCAGGATCCCTGTCATGTCATGGTGGGACCAAGCGAAACAATCTGTGTTAGCTATAAGGAAGTTAACGAGTTTTTTCTTGAGCTCGGGACGTAACCTCGTGCCCATGTATACCTTATGTTCGGGCAGGTGCTCGATCAATATGACTTGCTCCAGTTCCTTGATTGTTGATTTGGTGGCATCAGAATCACTGGGTTAGGGAACTCCGTAGTCGTCGTCCTCACTCGTCCCCTGCTTTTCTGGTTCGGTCGGGGCGGGTGTCGGGGATTGCTATTTGGTCTCTTCCTTGGCGACCTGTCACGACCCCAAATTTTCCTCCGTAGGATGTCGTGATGGCACCTAGTCTCTAAGACTAGGTAAGCCCATCAATGCAGAATAATAAGAGAAATATGAAATAAATAAATTTGCAAACTCACA